AAAGAAAAAGAGAGAGAGAGGGAAGGAAACATAAAAAAGGTGACAGTAATAGCGGTCATTTCGATGGATATGTTTATATACATGTGTTAGTTACGAAGTATATGGTCGTTTTAGTCGTCCTCTCTCTCTCTTCTCTCTCTCTCTCTCTCTCTCTCTCTCTCTCTCTCTCTCTCTCTCTCTCTCTCTCTCTCTCTCTCTCTCTCTCTCTCTCTCTCCATTTCTAATTAGATGCGTTTCCCTCCCTTTCCAAACATCCTTATTCCTACGCTTTACGTGTATTTTCTTGCAGTCCTTTTTGTATTTTGCATTTATTTGCGCTCTTCCGTCAGCATATATTCACATATGCGCAATCGCAGCCTTTTACTCAATGTTGTAGACTGAAGACAAGGTTGATTTGTCACCAGAGGACAAGGTGAATAGGGGGGGGGGTTGTAAGTGGGACACAGCAACACTATTTAAGGTCAGCACATAAAAGAAAAGTAATATTGAGTTAGTTTGTAGTGAAGAGAAGGTGGCAGGTTCGATTATTTTTTATCCTCGAGTGGTATTCAGATTGAAAAATAATCATGAAAAATATGGGTTGTTTTTATGTAAGAGTTCTTGAGGAGACCTGACCATCTAATCGAGAGATCCAGATAAAAGCGATAAAGAGAGGGAAGACAAGGGGAGTGATACGGCTGGGGAAAGGCACAAACGGACGGCCATTTGGAGAATAACAAGCAATAAACCTTGATCAAATGGTTGGATCATTACGTATTCAAATTTAGACGTATCGCCTTTCTATGTTTTCCTTTTGAATTTTGATTCTTCATATCTGTAACTGCATTCTAAGAGAGCGAAAAAGAAGAAAGAGCTAAAAATCGGGATATTTAAAACTGACGGGCAGTATGCGACGAGAATTTTCGTAAAGGGAAAGTTTTTGGAAACGAGTCGAATGCAGTTTACACTTTTTTTTTCTCCCCTTTAAGATCGGCGCCTGTGTTACGAAACTAGCACACGGAATTGGAGAGTTGTTCCGTCTTTTATTCTCGAATTTTTGATTCGCCAACAACGGCAGACTGGAGTAGAAAATAATATGAATTCGAATGAAAACTGAATGAAAACTTTACGCTCTGACATCAAGTCCATGATTCGAAAACAAAGATGGCCGTCGAGGTGGAGCAAATCGCCGGTGTTTATTGGTTAACAGAAGGTCGGCCTACATTAGCATTGCATTCATTCCCTCGAGGGGGATACGCACACATTACATTTATCTTATTGGTGGTGAATGTAACGTTCGATCTGCTATGAGAAAGCTATACCATCGTAAGAGAAGGTCGCTGCTCCAACCCACCTTGGTTATGCTCACCATGTCCTGCATAACAAAATAACGGGCCCTCTCTTTACTATCCCCCCCTCTCCTATCCCCCCTCCCTCTCCCCCCTCCCCCCTTCCCACAGGTCCTGTCGCCGACCGTTCTTCGCCACTCCTTCGCCGCCATGCCCCGTCTTGGCGTGCTAACCTGGCCTCTTACCTTCTGGCCTACTTCGAGGCCATTTCATTTCCTGGACTCCGGTTTTTTTTTTTTCAAAGGGGGTGGGGGAGGCAGATGTTATTGCTTTTGGTCTTTTGATTTCGGATCGTGTTTTTCTTCCGTGTTACGTGTACGGTTTTCTTTATATTCGAGAAAAATAAAAAGGCGATAAGAAAAATAATTTGAGAAGAGTAAATGCGAAAGCATCCCAGAACATTTTTATGTATTGTTCTTCAATAAACTTATTTTTTAAATTGATTTTTTTTCCTTTTGTAAGCCTGTGTCACTCTGAAGTTACTCAGGTTTACTATATCAATATTTTTTACCCTAAGATAATTCGTACAAACCCTAGTTTTATTCCATCGAAGCCGCCTTTCCGGTTCCTTCTCCGTTTCGCTAAGGCAACCTCCCCGACGATCAGCTTGGCCGTCCTTCCTTCTTCGCCCCTCATACCCTGACCCCCCTTTCCTACGTCCCTCGCTCCCTGCTGGCTTTCATCCAAGCGACGACCAAGCGTTGGGCAATAGATGGAGTAGATTGGTAGATTGTATGTAGCTTTCTTGTACGGAGGTCGCGTCAGGAGGAGGCCATGAGGTTCATGTTTGTCCGAGAGAAAGGCGACGGCGATGGCGGCGGCGGCGACGTCAGCGGAGCCGGCGCAAAGGTTGTCAGACGCGAAAACGAACGATTCCCTCGTCTGTTTTGCTTCGTTTTGTTATTATTATTATTGTTGTTGTTGTTAAGAAGACGTGGCAAAGCATATTATTGAGATTATTACTTGAGTTTTCTTTTTTTTTTTCGCTGTCTGAGATTTTCTCGATCTGTTCGTGTGGGTTGGTATATACTACTGCTATGTGCAGTTTTCGTTGTAAGTCTTGTAAGCAGTTTTTCGTTCAAACGAAGATAAACAATTTGCCAATGGCAGTTTGAAACACCTATCTATTCGCCATTTTTGAAATCAATATGGCGATGGCGGAATTTTCCGTT